TTGGGAAAGAGGAAGGACATGTACCCTTTTAAATGACACTTTAATTTATAAAGTTTTATGTAGATCTGCCTTATTAATCTGCTTATAGTGTTTCATCCCAAGGTGTATATAGTGGATCATTAAATAATCAGGAGAATTAATAATTGATCAGAAAGGCTTCAAAAGGTTTTGTTGTTGTTGTTTCACTTTTAAGGGAGGTTTCAGAGAATGGGCTTATTTGGTCTTCTTAGCCACTATAATTAGGATTTGCTATTTTTTTAAAAAGATTTTATTTATTTATTTTTGAGAGAGAGGATGTACATGTGAACACAAGTAGGGGGAGGGGCAGAGGGAGAAGCAGACTCCCCGCTGAGGAGGGAGCCTGATGCTGGGCTCTATCCCAGGACCCTAAGATCATGACATGAGCCAAAGGCAGCCGCTCAACAGAATGAGCCACCCAGTGACCCAGATTCACAGTTTTTAAGTTGTGTATCAGGTTTTTTTTTCTGCTAAAACACAAAATCTTCTGATCTTTAAAACTAAAGGAAGGTGTTTAATATGCATGAGAAGGGTGCACACCAAGAAGCAGCACCAAAAAGATATACCTGTGGCCCTAAGAGCATTAGTGTGGACCAGGTCAAAGAGAATAAATGAAGCCCAACTGGTTTAACTTACACTTATGTTCCAGATTTGGAGGGCACATGACAAGATTTTGTCATTATCAGTATCAGTCACAATGGTGCTAAGGATATGTCTTATACTTTTGGGCTTAACTGCCTCAAACCTACAGTGAAAGAAAATAAGTATTATAGTTAGATGTTTTCATACCAAGATAACTGAGCTTCTCTTTGAGAATTCTGTAACCAGTGATCATATATTCTTGTTCTAGAAGCCTTTAAAATACATTTGTGGTCAAATTTCTCAAAAACACTGACACAGAAACATCTATACAAGCACTGTTTACCAGAAATAGAAAACAAACCACACAGGTACTTTAAAATTATCCAGTAGCTGCATTTGAAAAAGCAGAAAGAAACAGGAGAAATTAATTTTAATCATATATTTAACCTAATATCAGAAATATCATTTCAACATATGCCAAATACAAAAAATATGGAGATATTTTACTAATTGTACTATTGTACAAAATAGTGCACTTTTACTAGTTGTATTATTTTTATAGTCTTTCCTAAAAAAATCTTTAAAACCTGGTGTGTATTTTGCATTTACAGCCCATGTCAATTTGGCTGTCAAAGTGGCTGTCATTTCAAGTGCTCAGTAGTCACATGCGGCCACATACTGGACATCACAGGCCTAGGTCACTAGGGAATGGAGTGAGGAAAAGGAAGGAATAAGCATCAATTCAAGCCAGATTCTAACCCTTCAATTCTTTCTGCTGAACAGAAAAATGAAATGCAATGGTGATTGTGAACACGCTCTGGTACTTGACACAATGAAGGGCCTTACCTCTAAATTTCAGGACAATTTTCTGTCCCCCGTTACCTCCCCGCTCAGCCTAGGTTCCTCCAGCATGAGGAGCTCTTGTCAATCTATGAAAACAGCGAGCCAGGAAGCCTCACTGAAACCTCCTCCAGCTCAGCCACAACCAAACCATTTTACCCTCATTTCCTCTCTGTCTGTTTCTCAGAATTTCAGTTCACTTATCTCCTCTGCAAACTACCTTCCAACCCAAGTGGTAACAAAAGAGCTATCAGAATGCAAAAGTGTGATGTCAAAAATATCCATTCTAGAAGCAAACCTATATGGGATTTCCCAAAATCACGAAATCAGACCATGGAAAACCCAGGCCTCCTCACAATCTATGATGTTTTACCAATAAAATTCTATCTAAAAATCAGAAAAATTGTGACCCAGGTGTTACGAGTACAGATGTTTTTAAAGAAAATCATTTCTAACTTTAATTACTAACCTCCCTCCCCCACCTCTTTTTTTAAACAGATTCTTTGGATTTTTTTTTTTTTAACAGAGTCATCCTTACTTCCCCTCAAGATGACAAACAGTTCTATCTTCTGCCCAGTTTACACAGATCTGGAGCCATTCACATATTTTTTTTATTTAGTGTTCCTTGTTGGAATTATTGGAAGTGGTTTTGCAACCTGGGCTTTTATACAGAATAACACAAACCACAGGTGTGTAAGCATATACTTAATTAATTTGCTTACGGCTGATTTCCTGCTGACTCTGGCATTACCAGTAAAAATCGTTGTTGACTTGGGCGTGGCACCCTGGAAGCTGAAGATTTTCCACTGCCAAGTGACAGCCTGCCTCATCTACATTAATATGTACTTATCAATTATCTTCTTAGCATTTGTCAGCATTGATCGCTATCTTCAGTTGACACACAGCTCCAAGATTTATCGGATCCAAGAACCTGGATTTGCCAAAATGATATCGACCGTGGTGTGGCTAATGGTCCTTCTTATAACACTGCCCAACATGATGATTCCCATCAGAGACATCGAGGAGAAGCCAAATGTGGGATGCATGGAATTCAAAAGGGATTTTGGCAGAAATTGGCATTTGCTGACAAATTTCGTATGTGTGGCAATATTTTTAAATTTCTCAGCCATCATTTTAATATCTAACTGCCTTGTAATTCGACAGCTCTACAGAAACAAAGATAATGAAAATTATCCTTATGTGAAAAAAGCCCTCATCAACATCCTTTTAGTGACTACAGGCTACATCATATGTTTTGTCCCATATCACATTGTCCGAATCCCATACACCCTGAGCCAGACAGAGGTAATATCTGACTGCCCAACCAGGATTTCACTATTCAAAGCCAAAGAGGCCACACTGCTCCTTGCCGTGTCAAACCTGTGTTTTGATCCGATCTTGTACTATCACCTCTCAAAAGCATTCCGCTTAACAGTCACCAAGACTTTTGCTTCACGTAAGGAGACCAAGGCTCCAAAAGAAAAATCAAATGGTGAAAACAGTGCATAAAACATGGGATTTCCCATGCTATCACTTCCTGCCTCAGTGGGAAAGAGAGCAAAGAGCCTAAGTAAAAACGACAGCTAGCATATGTGGCCTGGTTTACTGAGAAACTGTTTCCAAATGTAAGCCAAGCAGTACTCTTGTGGTTGTTAATGATCCTTAACCCAAATATTTGTACAAAAAAACTAAAAGATGCTGTTGAACCAACGTAAAACCTTGCATTATCCTTGAAATCTCAAGGAGTTTTATGACAGACTCAGAGGCATTCGTGAGGTATTCATTTAAATACCGGGAACTGACTTCTTGATAGAAATATGCAACACAATTTAAATAAAACCATTTAGATCATACCAAAAAAAGTCCAGCTGATTTTTACATGAAACCACCTGTGCCTGATTTATTTTTAATCCATCATTTTAAAGATGGTAAACTTTTGGTTTACTACTCTGATTTTTAATATCTAATTGTTTTGTAAGGTTATAAATAAAGACTTTCTACCCTAAGTAATGACAAATTCAGTGATTCCTTATTTTGTAGTAACATGAAATAGACCCTACAACATTTTCAAGCAAGTTGTTAAACTACACTGACTGCTTGAAAGTACTGTTTCGGAACTAAAAACTCACATCAAAGATATGGAAAAACAGCACTACTCAAATGGCCTTCAAAGAGACATGCCAGATACACACACAGCAAGACCTTGTAGGGAACACAGCACATGCTGGGCTGATTGGCACCATGTCTGAGTCTGACCCCACATGGGGCCTGCAGTTTAAAGAATGGGGGACTCCAGTTCTCAGGGTCACAACCCTTAGATCAAATTCTCTCTACTGCCAGTAATGCAGAAAGGGCTCAATAGATGGTATAAAATAAAAGACTTATTTGGGAAAAAGAAAATTGAAAAGTTTAGATAATGATACCTGAGACTTGGCGGGGGGGGGGGGGTCATTTCAATAGCAAAAGCCTGTATTGCAACAATTGGCAATACATTTGCATTAGCTGCAGTGATTAAGAAATGGTGTTCCTGGCAGCTCTCTTGAGCTCGCCCACTCTCACATCTCAAGAGTGTACTTTTCACTTTAATAAACTTTCCCATTTGTGGAAGGAAAGAAAGAGAGAGAGAGAGAGAGAAAGAAAGAAAGAGAGAAAGAGAGAAGAGAGAGAGAGAGAAAAAGAAAGAAAGAAAGAGAGAGAGAGAGAAAGAAAGAAAGAAAGAAAGAAAGAAAGAAAGAAAGAAAGAAAGAAAGAAAGAAAGAAAGAAAGAAAGAAATGGTATTCCTGGAAACTAACAAAACAAGTTTGATTCCAGAGTCATTTTTAGTTCTGTATTGAGAATTATTTTCTGAAGCTTGAACCCAAGACAATTCTGGTGTACAATTTCAGTATTTTCTGAGTTTGAAGAGAGTAATATATGAGAAAATGCACCCAAAAAAAGTCACACTTCTACCACGGTAAGTCCCGGACAAATTCTAGCTAGCTAGTGGTCATGACAGGAACCCCCCTCAGCATCACGTATCTGACCCAGGGTGTAAAGGGCTGCTGAAATGCCAGCCTGCTAGAACCTGTGCTTGCTGATGGTCTAACTTGTTTTTACTGACCGGCAGATCAAGACATGATTCATATGAGCATACGTGAAACTACTAGTTGCTTTTCCTGAATCTTTTGGTCAAGTCCCCATTAGTCTTCTCTCCTTGGTCTTCACTCACTAAGTGTGAGTGAAGACAGAAAGGGGGGTGGGAGGGAGCAATTTTTTTTTTTTTTAATCATATTCTTATATGCTTCTCCTATTCATGCATGATAGGTTAGTCAAATTTTCCCTCTTTATTAAGGAAGAGAACAAGACTCTCTACAGCATTCCTAATGTCGATGTTACATTAGTATATACGTTCATTTCCTCTTGATGATGTTTTATTCTAAATGACACTCAGAGTAAAGGGAGGCCTAGGGCAACTGGTGATAGAAGGCTATTAAAAAATTATATCCTACAACATCAATTTTCTAGTAGTTGTGTTATGATTGCATTACAGTTATGTTATAATCCATCATGAGAGACTTAATCACCAGAAATCATTCATGCTCCTTCCTCTAAGGAGGTGGACAATCTTTAGAATGTTACATGCTGGCAATGACTGTGTAGAAAGGGTCACATGAACAACAGAATAGAGATGTCTGTACTTGGGTGCACACCAAGACACATGGGAGAGGGAGGCGAGCAAAGCTCTGCCCACCCAAGAGAAGAACACAGAATCCTCAACCAATTTCAACCATATTCAACATTTTGCCCTATTTGCTTTATTACCCCTCTCCTTTTTATTTAAATTAAGTTTTTACTTTGGAATACTTTAAGATTTACAGAAAAGGCACACAGATAGTACAGCAAACCTTTTATCCCATTTGCCCTAATGTTAATGGCTTACATCACCATGATACATTTGCCAAAAGTAGGAAATTAACATTGGTCTATTAAGTGTTAACTGAACTCCAGACTTCGATATCCTGCCCCCCACTTTTGATGCCAACTATTTTAAGACCAATCCCAGACATTATAATATTCATCCATAAATTCTTCAGGACACAGATCTAAAATATCAGGCTATCCTTTCTGTTGCCCTAAATGCACAGTGAGATTATTCCATTATGTTGGAAATGAGTGATATGTACAGGTAAAGCAAAAAAAAAAAAAATGTATTCAGCCAGTTATGAGCAAGAAAGAATTGTGACAACTTTTGACACAGCCCTGGACAGAAAAACTGACACCAAAAAGAAGATTCTTAATTGTAATAAAAAATACATGTAAAAAAAATTTTTTTTGAAAGTTCCAAAATAACAAAAATTAAAAATTAAGAAAATATTTAGTTTGCAGAGCAAAACTCCTCAAAGATATCCAGAACATTATATATACCTCACAATTACACTGCTGTTAAAATAATAATAGCGTGCAACAACAACAACAAAAAAAAACGGCTCATTAAAATTTCTCTTAAAATCCCAGGAAAAAAGATAGTAAACCCAAAAATATAAACATATTTACAGATTTTGGCCCAATTTTCATTACTTTCAAAAAACCAATCTTGTTTCCCTTTAGTATAAAGCACATCACTTGTTAAGAGTTAAACACTAAATTTCCTGGTATTTCTCATATGCTGTTCAATTCTTAAATTCATTAGATTGAAATCCAAGTCCATGTCATATACAACCTCCTCTATGAAGCCTCACCCAACTTTGCAATCAGATGCTCTCTCTCCCCTCCAATATTTATTCTTTGAGAGTGGAAGAGACCCAGGAATGTTAAACAGTTCACCTTCCAGCAGGCACTTGGGTTTTTACTAAATTATTGCATTTATTTTAGTGTGTATCATTTCACATTTGTCTCCCTCCTATCTTATTCATCTTTCTTGTGTCCTAAAATTCTCATTCGTCTGTATAATACCAAGTACCTACCACAATACAGTGCACATAAAAGCTACTCAGGAAATGAGTTTCAAATGGAAGTAGGAAAACACATTTAGATGTCATTTGCAGTCACTCAAATGCTCTTGATAAAAGGATAATAATCTAGAAAATTCCATTAATTCTAGCTAGCCAGTAGCATCCCATCACAAATTTGAACTACAACTGTACATACACTATACGATCATAATTATAAAAGAAGCAGTAAATGAAAAACTCACCTGCTTTCAAATGTGTTACTCAGGCAAGTAGAATAGTCAATGGTTAATGATCTTTTAATGAAACAATCAAGGTTGCCAACTGATCAAAGCTGTGACTTACCAGAGGTATGGGAAAATGGGTTGCATACTGCAGGTGTCGCAGGAGGTCATAATTAGATGGAAAAATTAGCTCCCTGGGTTTTTCTCTCTTAAGCAACTTCTCACCATTAACCGACATTCTTCTGCCCAAGGAAGGGTTGGCATTCTCACAGGATTCTCCAGGCATGGGAGAAAAAATCTAAGTCATGTAAAATAAATGTTGGAGATTGTAAATGAAAGAGAGCAACACCAAAACACAGCGCTACATACCAAAACTCCAAACACACAAGACACTCCTACACTATCTCTTCCTTCTTTAAACACTGAGAAAATATATAAAGAAAATAAAGAAACTATGTTAATTTCCACAAAATTCATATTAAGATTAGTAGGAAACTATCAACATCATCTCCCATTTTGAAGATGAGAAAATGACCACCACACACGTAAAAATTGTGCAAAGCTACACTTCCCAGAGGACCAGAGACAACATCAGACTCATAGGTTAAGTGTTTCCTCATGAGTAACAGATACAAAAGTTTTAGTCAGTACCCCAAACAGTATTTTTTATAAAGCACCTCACTGAGATCCATAAGGAAGAAAATACTATAATTTTACGGAGATAAAGTAGAAAAAGCGTAACAAGTCCAGAGCCAGGAAAGCTATTATTTAGAAACTGAACACATACATAACACATCAACATGGACTGTCATGATGAAACTATTCATGTATTCCTGAGAGATGATGGTCTCAAGGTGAACAAAAGTCACAGTTAACTAGGAGGACAGGAGTGTTCTACTCTACAAAAGAGACAATGCAACTAAAACTAAGGATGAACCGAAATGACACAATTGCACAAGATGATGTACCCTAGAAAGGAATATGGTAGGATGACATTTACATCACAGGGACACAAGTCATTCCAGTACGTGGGGCAAGGAACAGAAGGACGGAGACAAGCTGGGAGAGGGGTGGGAAAGAGGGGTTAATAGTCAATAAGAATTTGAAGGTTGAACCTACTGGAAATTCCGAACCAAAGTCAGTTTTAAAGTCATTCTTGTCTACTTCATCAAAAATATTAGTAGTTCCTGAGTCAATGCCCATATGCGCCATTATAGTCTGTTCCTGATAATTACCAGAGAAAGAAAGTGACACTGTAAATTTTGTAGTTAAATTAAATTAAAAAACTGAAGCTAAAATATGACCGTGATGTTTTTAACCACCCTAGGTCTTTTCTCTCCCTAGTATCTATTTTTCCCCAAAAAAGAGAAGTTTTAAGACATGCACTTGCTTTGCAAAGTCACATTCTTTATTCTCATAAGATTTACCTTTCATGATACTTGAAGGAAAGAGCCCACAAACTTAAAAACATTAAAACACAAACCGGTCATGTCCCTCCTTTAGGCTATTCCCAGTCATGTGCTCACCAACTTTTCTTAGAAAAATCTGAGAGTACACCCAATAAGATACCTCGATATCCAAGAATAGAAAGGAAGAAACAGAAACATAAAAGAAGCATAAACAGGTAAAGTAACTTTAGTTTTTTAGCCTTTTATAACTTCTGTGGACAAATTTGGGAACAACAGTATTTACATTAAGGAAACAATTTTTTAAATTCCTGCACCATTTGATCACCAAATCTTAAGAACACAAACTATGAATCCACACATGTAATTCTAATGCCAGGTCTTTCAATTACAAGGATAATTTAAAAAAATATCATCACAGCATATGCTTAAGCTCTCACAGAACCATCATGAGGCTTGATTTTAAGGAACCTCCACAAGCTCTCACCATTTTCCACTCTTTCCCTTTACCACCTCCATGCTTTCTGCCTTGAAAACTTCTTTAAGTATCAAGAACAATGTCCAAAACACCAGAAATTGGCAGAAAATTATAGTCATACTCATAGTAAAAAATAATTTGTTGAAAAGAACAATTCCACATTGGAGTTTTCAATTAATTGAAATGAAAATATGATGTGCTATGATCAAAACAGGATTTCCCATTTTGTAGGAAAGACAGAAGCAATGGATAAATTGGGGAAAAGATGTTCCTTAGAACGGGACTTTAGGCAAAAATCAGTCTGATTTTAAGGCACAACATTAAAGAAAAACTGGAAATTAGAAATACATAAAATTGGAAGCATATAATTCTTGTCCAGTAAAAAATGTTATGGACTGTCAAATCTTTTCATTAATAGTTTTAGAGTATCCAAAAGAAAATTCTGGAATGGATATATCCCATATTTTTTTTTTTTTAATTAGTGAGGAGTAGAGATAAATGAGTTCTCTAACAGGAGAATACAATTAAAATGCAATCACCCTTCCACCATGAAACAATCCTCTCAAAGGGGTTTCCCAGCTGAGTGTTGTTTTCAGGGCTGGGGCACCACTCCCAGGGCCATACCTCCATTTTCATGTCATGGTCCTTTGGGTAGTGTTCATCCACATTTTCTCCCGCTGGCGACCGCGGTCGGGTCGAGGCAGTGACTGACAAGTCTCCTCGAGATATGAGGGTGCACATGTATGCATCATGAGAGAAGACATCATGTCGGATGAACTCACAGAAGAGCAGCACCAGATTCACAAATTCCACCTTTTCACATTCACTGTTTGGATCCGCTACATAGAAACAAATCAACAATCAGTCCCCTTGATACAGTAGGGGGAAAAAAAAAAAAAAAAATAGGAAGGCTTAACAAGGGGTGCCTGGGTGGCTCAGTTGGTTAAGCATCTGCCTTCAGCTCAGGTCATGATCTCAGGGTCGTAGGATCGAGCCCCATGTCGGGCTCCCTGCTCGGCGGGAGAGGGAGGGTCTGCTTCTCCCCTGCTCTTCCCCCTTCCCACCCTCCCCACTCATGCTCGCTCTCTCTCTAATAAATTTTTTTAAAAAGCAAATGTAAAAAAAAAAAGAGAAGTCTTAACAATATTTTCATTTTTTTTTTTTACACAGAAGAGTTATTAGAAAACGTACTATGAGGTGCAAGCATTTTGTGCAGAACAAGCACACGACTGTCCCGCTGTACTTGAAAAATAGTATCCAGTGTGCTAAGCACAATTTCAAGTTTAAAGATAGTGGTCCCTGACAAATGAGTAACCACTTAATAATATAAATACGTAAAATTTCAGGTAAGGAAAAAAAAAAAAAAAGGCAGCGCCAAACTGCTTTCTCTGGTTTTACTATTAAAACAGCTCATGACTGTTTTCATAGCTTGAGAGTGTCTGTATATTTGTGAGGTATGCGTGTGTACCTTTCAAAGGACACTTTATAATAAAACAGTTCAAAAGGTACTTGAAAATACTACTGCATGGGATCCACTAGAAAGAAAGAGGGAAGGTGCAAGACAAAAAGGCACAAAGATGGAGCTCTGCAGTCTTTCTCAGTTCATAGCCAGTCTATTTAACTCACGTTACGACTTTTAATACTGCAGCTGCACTCTGAAACTTTGTACCCTTGAGAGAGATTAAAAAATGTTAAGAGCAACCCTTCAAAGCTCGGGCCCTGCTATCATCATGCTCGCAAACACCAACAGAGACAAACAGATGGATCCAGGGAACATGAAGCGCCTTCCCTAACACTTAAGCCTTAGCGTTTGCTGTCGTCCACTGCAGAAGTCAGGGATGCACAACATCTACACAGAGAACACACACAGCTCTGACAGCAGGAAATGGGATCCAGAACAAGCAGAGGCAGAGAGGAGGAAGGGCTTCCCAAAGAACAAACAGGAGTGGGGACAGGCTGAGGAACACAAAGGGCAAATGTGTATCCATCTCCTCCAGAAATACAAGAGAAGGTAGAGCAGCTAACTTCCACTCCTGACCATGTATTTTCTGCTCCCTAGGATCTCTTCTGTCCTCCATTTTTCTGCTTCCTCTTCCATGTTTCGCTACAGCTGCCTACCTTGCAACCATCAGTGTGGCTCCAGCTCTCCCCTGAGCCCAGAACAGCCACCAAGTCACTTAAGGAACCTCATCCCCAAGCACCATTCAACCCAAAATGAGGGCCTTCTCAGAGGAATCAGAAGCAGTACTATTTCCTGCTGCTTTACCTCCTTCTTCACAACAAACCTGTCCCTCCCGCCCCCTCCATGCATTTTCTCCCCTTTCTATCACTTTTCACTTTATGCCATTTTCTGTTGTTTCAGCACTATCTACCTAAAGACTCACCCTGCTGTACTGTGTCACATGAAAGCCTCAGAATAAGATCAAGACCACTAAGCACACATAAATGAATTTTTTAAGTGTCAGTTTACAGTATAAGCCTGCTGGGCTTATAATCCCCAAACTCTTGACTCCCCACAAACAATAGAATAAAAGACAGAAGAATGGGAGATGACAGAACATCCCATAGAGTATAGGCGAGCAGCCAGCCATCTGCACAAATTATTTCCTTACATCAAGCACCTGGTTATAAAGTACTTTGGTTTGACTTTTCCCTTTTTTCTTATCAGGAGTCGTAAAATGAGAACTTTTGAAAACAGTGCAAAAAGAGAAAATTCCTAATCACAATAGTGATTTAGACAGTGAAACATCAGAGGACCTTAGCTCCTCTATTTTGGTAAGAAAGATCTAGAAAGGGAAAACTAGACCACCAAATATTAGAGAATGAGGTGACTTATTTTTAAATTTTTAAAACTCTGGAAATTTTGAAGTCTTTGCAGCTCACCTAATTTTAAAATTGCATAGAAATCTCCATTAAAAACATTCAACAAAATTTTGCTCAGTAAAACATACATTATATTCATCACCAAGAACTCTTGATTAAGATGCAAATAAGGAAGAAAGAGAATAAGAATTAGCTCCAATCTCTTATTTAAGATCTAGAAGCAAAGAACTTTACTTACATAATGAGGGGGCCTGTGTATCTAAAAACCTTAGTAGAACATTCTGGAAAACAGGCAAACTAGATCCAGCAAGAGAGGCTGAAGAAATGGACTCCTTCTCATCTAATACCTCTGATTCACCACATCTCTAAGATTAAAAATAAACAAGCACAGTTAATTACAGAGGGCAATGTAGCCACAATGGATCATGAATTTGTTAGTTTTTTATTAACATTTAAATTGTCAGAAAAAAAAACATGCAAAATTAGTTGAGATTTCTGTACTTATTTGAGGGCTATGCGTCATAGGTAAATATAATATCTCAAAGTTAGGGGAAACTACCCCAGAACAATTCAAATGATTTCCAAGACACCCATGGAAAACATTATTCATGTAAATTATAAACTCTCCAGAAGTTATAACTATCCACCGAATATACAGCATAGTACAATAAACTACTCATTATCCCTATGCAAAATTGCTAAAAATAACTCAAAGTTGTCTTCATTTTTAAATAGCTCATGCTTAACTAACTGTATATACTTCCCCTAAGAAACTTTTGGGCATGTTATTATTCAGTTCGATGTTTTTGTGTTTGTTCTTGCTAGGTGAGTGTATTTACAAGTGTGTGCAGGGGATGTTGGGAACTGTGATGTCAAATGAGAAAGTGAACATAATTCCTCTGATAAGATTCTTTCACTCATCACACTTCACCAGTTAGGATCTCTTAGAACCTGTGGAATCTCCATAGCTGATGAAACATAGATCTAGAGAAGTTGCATTCAAGACAGAACTTACTAGGAGACCAGAAAAGAAACAGTTCAAAAGCAATCAGAACCCTGTTTTCTATTCTTTTTCATATCCCTCTGACCTTCCCATTTTCATTGTCTATTCTTTAATATTAATATATTCATTATTACATTCCATCCTCTCTTCACGAAGGTCAAATTTTGAAAATGGTGATGGTTCAACAACAATCAATTATCTTAAACATCCCTCAGAGAATACATTTTTTAGATGTGGATACATTTACACCTATTAAAATTACAAAGTCATCAGTGTGAGCCTCTTCCAAAAGTGATTGTGTGTGTGTTCCTAGAACACACTGGAAGAAGGGATGCCTGTGTGATGTAACAACTCAGAAGGAGCAATTAAATTTGAGAAATTCAACTTACTAAAGTTTACTCATTGCAATTCACAGATCTATCTATTCATAGAAAAAACAGCAATGAAACACCTTTCCTAAACTGCACATTGTAAAATGGGTCATGTGTTTCATACCTTACTTAACCCAGTATCTTCAAGCCCCACGTTGAACAATGTGATCCTTTTTATTTGGTGAATAGTACTCTCCCAACAGGAGGAGATGTCTATAGATATATTCTTCCTATTTCATTTTTTAAGAGCTTCGCAGGAAAGAGTATTATCAGTAAGACAGAACCAGCTAAGTTCTCATCCATTCATACAACATTTTCTGAGCATCAACTATGCACTGAACACTATTCTGGGTGCCAAAGACACAACATTGAACAGGGCGGGCAAGGTCCCTGTTGTCAAGCTTACATTCTAGAGGGCGGTAGGCAGGCATTAAACAATAAGCCAACAAGGAGAGGAAAACAGAGTGCTGTGAGAAAGAGCACCTGAAGGGTGGGTGACGCAGGATCTTCCTGAGGAGGTGACACATGTTGAGCTAGGAATGCTAGAAAGCCACACTTCCTAAACTAGGAATGGCAGAAAGAAACTGGCCATGTGAAGACTGGGGAGCAGTGTGCCACCCAGTAGGAAGAGCAAGACCAAGGTCCCAAGGCAGCAGCTGGTTTGCTGTGCTGGAGGTACAGGAGGGCCAAGGCAGCTGCAGCTGTGACCCAGGGGAGAAATATTGAGACGAGGGAAAGGCGGTCCAGGGAGGCCCATACAAGGCTCTGTGGACACAGTAAGGATCCATCAGGAGTCTGCATAAGGGGACAACATGATCTGCTTCCAGTTTGAAAAGACGGTGGTCGCTGCTGTGAGGAGCAAGGAGCAGAGAGGAGGGGGCCCTGCAGCAGTCTGCGTGGGGCGGAGAGACAGCGGGCCGCTCACACCACACACAGCCTTTCTCCTGGCCAGACCTCCAGATCTCACGGACAGATAAGGGGGCTGGCTGAAAAATTTTCCCTTCAACAAAAGCTAAAGTTTATCAAGTTAGCGTTTTGGTTTTTTTTCCTTCATAATCCACTTCCGAGGCTTTAAATGCTCTCTCTGGGGCCAAAATACAATCTCAGAACTAATACAAATTGGTATCTGTAATCTCAAAATCAGAACTGCTCAAGAAAATACTCCCAGGGGCGCCTGGGTGGCTCAGTCGTTAAGCGTCTGCCTTTGGCTCAGGTCATGATCCTGGAGTCCTGGCTTCGAGCCCCGCATCGGGCTCCCTGCTCTGTGGGAAGCCTGCTTCTCCCTCTCCCCCCGCCCCCCGCTTGTGTTCCCTCTCTCGCTGTGTCTCTCTCTGTCAAATAAATAAATAAAATCTTTAAAAAAAAAAAAAAAGAAAGAAAATATTTCCAGATCCACTAAAGTATTATGTAGCTTTAAAATTCAAATAGTTGGTGTATACTATATACATTTCTGTGTGTGTGTGAGCGTGTATATATATGTATATAATACAAAACGTATATATGTGCATGTGTATCTCAACCTCATATAGGGAGAGGTCTTTGTTCTAAATCAGATGTTAGGGGCGCCTGGGGGGGCTCAGTCAGTTAAGCATCTGCCTTCGGCTCAAGTCATGATCCCATGGTCCTGGGATCGAGTCCCACATCAGGCTCCCTGCTCAGCAAAGAGTCTGCTTCTCCCTCTGCCGGCTGCTCCCCCTGCTTGTGCTTGTGCTCATTCTCTCTCTGTCAAACAAAGAAAATCTTTTAAACAAACAAATAATTCAGATGTTGAAGTTTTATTTTAAAAGATACAATTCTAAATTAGTCCAGAATATAAATTATTGGCTTCATCAACTGAAAGGGATCCTATATGTAGTCCTTATGTGAATTTGTACATTCTCCCTTTTTTCCTTGGAGAGAGAGAAAAAAAATAGCATAATGAGTAAGAAAAAAGAATCCTCTCCAAAACAGTTATTTTTAAATGATGGCGTTCCAATGTCAGAAAGAAAACTGAACCTACCTCTGCCTCGATTTCCGCCTGCCTCTTCTCCAGGAGCTTTGCCACAGCTATGGCCCTGTGCTTGCCCGACCGTTTGCAGCTCACCGCCCACTCACACAGCAGTGTCACCACGGCTTCGTCATTGGGGGCAACCTACAGTCAAGAGAAAGGGGGACCAGCCACGTCAAGTGAAGCGCTCACCCAATGACAGAAAGCAAGCGATGGAATTTTTAACACTTTTAAAGCTTTCTTTAATTAAGCTTTCTTATATTTTATTATAGTCATTTCAGAAAATGTTCCCAAATCCTTTTTAACTGAAGTATAAAGAGCAACACTTTAGTGACAAGGAAGGAAATCACTAGAACAGCTCAGTCTGTGACAGTTTCAAGGAAATTAACAGTCTCCTTGCATATGCCTTTCATCTACACAGAATTATCACCCAGCCCCACTGATCCTCCAGAACTCAACACCAAAAGCCAAGAGAAAGGGAAACTGAGCACTGAATATCCAGAAGAGCTGCTCCCAACCCCAAGCACTCACTCCACTGTTGGCCCCCTCACACTCAGAGGCCTCACTCGCTGCCCAATCCGAACATGGCAGCTCAGCAAGCCACCCACTCCAACAAGGAACTGAAGGGAACTGGAGGGGAGGCTGGAATGCTGGCCAAAGACTCACTGCATTAGAAACAACCAACATGAAAAATGACAACCAAGCATCAGAAAGAAACAAATTATTAAAAGCAGACACAGTTGGCAGAGGGCAGTATATCCTGGGTCTATGTGGGGCTCAGCACTGTCCCTGGAACTATGCACTGTGGTTGCCATGGCCTAGAAATGGGCCCCACAGACTGAGGATCAGAGGGGTCAAAGAAAGGTCACAGGAACCCAAGTGACATGAATTAGAGACAGGCAGGGGGAGTTAAGAGAAAAGAGGAATCATCCTTTTATGTAACCTCACCTTTCCTTTTAGAGGATGCAAGCCAACCAATGTAACACCAATTGCCCGTTTTTAGTATTTGTCCAGTTGTATAAACACTATGCCAGAAGAACTGGATAATTACAGTATTGACATTTATGTGAGAAGTCCTTAACGTTTTAGAATCCATATGTTCGATTGAGATTATAACAGCTGTAAACACACTCCCAGGAAAAACATGCAGACATACACACATAAATCTAGCACAACTTTTCAGAAAGTTCATGGACTCTGAGAAGACACCCAAGAATCCCAAGGTAAGAATCCCTAATCAGCTTGTAGATACTAGCAAACAATTTAGATCATGAAAATCAGTTTGTTCCAAGATTCTTAGTCATCCTACCCTAAACTTGGTTAAACACATGTTGACTCAAAGAAATGTTACTTAGGGCAGATCTCAAAAGCATCTCTAGGTCTCTTAATTTAAATTAAAAGAAGTAATTCAATTAAAATATATAGATTGTTATGTTTAACACTTAAAAAAGAAAGCAGACTAGAAGGAATGTTTGCTGGATTCCATCTAATCCAGAGAAAAGTCAAAATATAAAAGTCAATTCAGTGAAGCACCACATGCTTAGATTTAGATTATAGACAACAAAAGGAGTTACCCTAAAAATACTACCATCAGTTTTTAATAAATTCATGCAGTCAGTAATGTGCATCATATCCACATTTATAAAGTTTTTTTTATTTTCTTCAGCATCATTAAAATAAGATGAAAATAGGCTACAAAAGAATAAATGACTCACTCGTTCAACTTAATAGGTTCTGCTTGACTTAAAGATGCACAGAATAGCACATATAAGGGAAAACACTTCTTCTTAACACATCCAGATAGGACCACGAGTTGGGGTAATGTGCTAGAAAATAAGTCCTTCTTAGGAAGGAGTCAATTCACTTCCAAAAGCACTTATTAAGTACCCATGCTAGGCACTGAGGAAACAAAAATTTAAAAGACCTGGCCCCTGTGCTCCAAAAGTTCACCTTCTAGAAAGAAAAGCAAAAAAGACAACTAATCATAAAGCTACAAGACGTGGGGTGCCTGGCTGGCTCAGTTGGAGGAGCATGCGACTCTTGATCCTGGGGTCCTAAGTTCGAGCCCCATGTTGGGTGTAGAGATTACTTAAATAAATAAATAAAATAAATAAAATAAACTTAAAAAAAAAAAACAAGAAAGCTACAAGACGTTTTGACAACATCGAAGAGGAAGTAATTAAGTCTGGCTATCTGCACCTTCCATATCTCAGTCCCAGCTTACAGACATCTGAGATCTTAACTTGAAGACAGGAGGGCCTGCAGTCGGCCTGCTACAGCTGTGGTCTCAATTTGTAATTATTAGGAAATAAGTGAATTACGAAAATCCAAGGAAAATGCTGCTGAAAAATTATGTTTTTAAAATATAAAATTTATTACAGAAATTTTCTTATATTCATATCAGTTATATGTCCATAATCTATTTTCAACCAATAAATATTTTCCAATACTGGCCAGATTCAAATAGTGCAAAGTCCACTCCTTTTGGAATATCAGATGGACTGCCAAATTATGCCAGTCCTTCCTTAGGATATTGGAGTGGTGGGGATGGAGGAATACATAGGTTCTGTGCCTATTTTAAAAGAAACAGTAAGATACTACAAAAGATGTTTTATTACTAACTTAGAAAATCATGTTGGAAAATCAGGGCACATGATACCAACTTGAAAGCAAACTATCCCTGCAATATGAATAATTACATTTATGTATTTGGGTCAAAATGTACTTCATTAGTTCTTTATTACTGAAAAATTATCTATTAGTTATAAAATACTTTTATAATTTCAGCATATTTTTCAAGATAATTTTTCAATGAAAACTCCCCCTCTGACTCCTACTAATTACTACAAAGTTTTGATTAACATTTTAAGCTATTTTTACCAAGAGGCCTCTTCTAGCTTCCACTACCAAAAACGAGGATATCCTGCTTTTTTCACTCTAAGCACCAGTTCCAGGGTATATCCAATTAGACATGTTCAATGTGCATACAAAGAGACATCCATGGCTCACACTCCCCATAGGCAGATCCTTGCACCCCTCCCCCACTACTCTGCATCAATCAACTTTTGGAAAATTAGAGGATCACTCTCATTTGCCTTCCAGATGCTATTTTACAAATTAATTCAAGTAACTGCCAACAGGACATCATAACCTCAAATATGTAAACTGAAGTGCATTCGCACCCTATAAACAAATTTCTAAGAATATTAAGCTCCATTTCTTTAAAACAATAATTATTTGTTAAGTGAAATTTAGTAAATATGATTTTAACATATAATAACTTCAAGGCAAAAATTTGAGGAAATTTAGGAGTTCAAGATATAAACTACAGTCCCTGTCCTTCAGCAAGATGGCAATTAAGTGGGAGAGACATACATGTGTACAAATAATTTGGAAATGGAAAGGAAATGAATGAAAAGGAAAAAAGGAAAACGGGAAATGAAAAGTATCTCAGAAAGTCAACATTTAACAGAAGCCGAAAGAGAAGACTGAAGGAAACTACTAGATGCTTCCTTTTAGAAAGTGGCTTTTGGGAAAAGTCTTGAAGAATGAGTTAAATTTCGAGAGAGATGAACAAGAGAAGAAACGAGTATGTGGTGGGAGACAGAATAACACCCCCACCCCCAAAGATGTCCACACGCTAAAGCCAGGACATGTGAAGACATTACCTTAAAGGACAAAAGGGACGTTGTGGCTGTGATTAAGTTCAGGATGTTGAGGGGGGGGAATTATCCCGGATTACTGGGTGGGACCAGTGTAATCACAGGGGTGGTTGTGAGGCAAAGAGATGTGACAGGGGAAGCAGGAGCCAGGGTGAGAGAGAAACTGGAAGATGATGTGCTGGGTACTGTGGAGATGGAGCAAGGGAACACAAGCTAAGGAATGCAGGGGGCTTCTAGAAGCTGGGAAATAGAAGGAAACGGAGTCTCCCCTAGAGGCCCCCTAAGAATGCAGCCCAAATGACACCTTGATTAGAGCCCAGTAAGATCATAACCTCCAAAACTGCATGAGAAAAAATTTGTGCTGCTTTAAGCCACTAAATTTCTGATAACTTGCTATGGCAGCAATAGGAAATTACTTCAAAGCAGTTTTAAACAAGCAAATAAAAAGTGGCAAAGAGGGGCACCTGGGTGGCTCAGTCAGTTGGGTGTCTGCCTTCAGCTCTGGTCATGATCCCGGGGTCCTGGGATCGAGTCCTGTGTCAGGCTCCCCGCTCGGCGGGGAGTCTGCCTCTCCCTTTCCCTCTGTCTCCTCCCTCCTTGCTCATGTTCTCTCTCAAAGAAATAAAATCTTTAAAATATGTTTTTTTATATCATTTGTTCCAATAATTCAATCTCTGAAAATATAACCCAAGGAAATTATCTTAAAGTAAGAAGATAGGAGTGCTCATCAGTGAAGCATGATACTAAAACGCTCCCCTCTTTCTAGCCCCAGAAACTGACAGATTCCCTCTGAAATTTGAAGGAGGCTCATAAGGGATCAAATCAGAGAAAACAGGGCGCCTGGGTGGCTCAGTTGGTTAAGCGACTGCCTTCGGCTCAGGTCATGATCCTGGAGTCCCGGGATCGAGTCCCACGTCGGGCTCCCTGCTCAGCGGGGAGTCTGCCTCTCTCTCTGGCCCTCCCCCCTCTCATGCTCTCTATCTCATTCTCTCTCTCAAATAAATAAATAAAATCTTTAAAAAAAAAAAAATCAGAGAAAACAGAATGAACTCACATGGAGAGAAAGTCCTTATGGATGGTTCACAGGCAAGAGCATTTGTCTTCAGCAATGAACTATGGACATTTGTGTGGTGTTTTATTTTTATTTCTATTTTTCTGCAGACAAATGGTGATATTTCAGTATCTAATTAAAGATGTATAAATAAGGAAGGCAGACTGGAGAGGCCTGCCACTGAACAAAGGAAAGGGGAAGTCCAAGACGCGTGATTACCAGTAAGGCTCAAATCCCCTCCGACAGCATTCTCCCCTCTCAGACAAGGGCAGCTCCCCACCAGCCCACCATTCCTCCCTTCTTCCAGAAGCAGCACTCCTACTTCTTCTGGGGATACTGCTCCTCCTCCTGCTCCAGGGGATTCACAGAGGGGTACCCCATTCCTCTTAGATTTAGTGCTGCATTCTGGATTGGGGTCTTCGATAGGCAGT